GGGGAATCTGTGATTTTTGTAATTAAAAGAATGGCTTGACCTATTCCGTTTTTGTAATACTCTAGTTAATAATGGAGAATTCAGAACAAATGGATGGACTTGGGTTGTGTTGGGGGACAGGAAATTTGGTGTTCAGAAATAATTTGTTGCTGTAGTTGTGATTATATAAGTAAAATGAGACAAATTTAAAGACGGTCCTCTTTAATGAATCTCTAGGTACAATAGGCAGTTCCTTCCAAGGAGATGTCGATTCCATTCTCCAACACCCACTACCGAATTCCACAAGGATTTGGGAATCTTCTTGAAGGACTGACACGTGAGATTCTGAGGCAGCAACCGGACAATATACCATCTTTTGCAGCAGCATATTTTGAGAGTCTTCTAGAGAAAAGAGAGAGTAAGCTTTTTAAAAATAGGCATTTGTTTAAAAAAAAAAAAAATTAGAGACTACGCACTTGCTTATGGTGAACCTTGCTTAAGACCATCCCTGTTCCACAGAAAGTCTTTATGAGGCGGATAGCTTCATCACAGTTCTTGCTATTTGAAACATGTGCTCTTTTGGCAGGTTCTCTTAAATCACATTACTTCCCATTATTGAAGATTACCAGTTTATTACCCAGACCTTCTTGGTTGTATTTCTCGTGCACACACGGGGTAGAAGGTGACCCCAAGAGATCACCCAGTACAGCGCTCTGTTTCCCAGCAGGCCGTTGCCGAGCATCCGAGGCAGTTGACTGTTCTTATGAGGAGGAGAGTTTGTGGTTTTCTTTACATTTTTGCTGTTTACTTGAAAGTATTATAAGTATTGTACAAAGTAATTCTACACTCCTTAAATAAGTTGGTATTTGCTGAGGTATATGAAACCGTTCTACAATAAAGGCACAGAGAAAACTGCTTTGAAAGTGAACTTCCAGCTTGGGATGGTAAAGTATATTCTTTTTCTCTACTCCCAAGGTTCCATCCTGTTCAGAGACTAAGATTCAGGCTAACAGTGACTCTTTAGTTGAGAGCCAAAGCTGTTTCTTTGTTTCCATAAAGTTTCCAAATTCCCAGTCTTGAAGGTTCATGACTATCAAGACCCAACCTAATGGTCAAAATGGGAACTATTACATCTATAAGTGTCTATAAAAAACTCATAACTAGAGCAACCGTTTTTAATATAAGCTTTTATCATTACTTTTGATTACAGTATTCCAACAGAGTGATAAAGATGCCTAGAAATAGCCACAAATAAATAAAACATTCCATTTTAAATCAGTTTAGAAGGAGAAAACCTACCACAAGGCTTGACTCAAAACAACTCCCATACACACTGCATAGGTCTCCACCCCCTTGTCTTTGCTCTACCCTGGCAGAGCTCAAAATCTCTGCCAGTTTCCAGAATATTGTATAATCTGAAACTTAAGTGCCACTAAACAGCTATTAGGGGAAATCCTTTAGGGTAAGAGATGAATTATAATGAACATTAATTTTGTTGTTACAGCTTTATTTTACAAATTCATGAGTAAAATATCTATAGTCATTTATTTAAATTTAGACCTCAGGAACATCCCATTATAAGAACATTTGAGTCATTGTTACTGGATCATGGTAATTAAAGCAATTGGTGATTCAAAGTAATGGTCTCAGAATACTAACTCTCTAACTAATAAAAAATGGGTAAAACTATTTGAAAAAACTTGAAGCATCATACCCATTTTCACTCATGTAAACCAAAGCTGAGTTAGCCAACTGACACAAGTATTAGAATTTAGTCTCCAAAAGGGACGAGGAAGGTCCTCTAGGCCAGTTTCACACAATGCAAGAATTTACTTACCACCCCAGAGGTAATTACTAGTCTTAATTTTGATTTGACAGGAAGCTATTAGTAAATGAAATAAGTGGTGTCTCAGAATCACTAGGGAAAAGGTGGGCGTTTTATTGAAAGGTATAAAGATGGAAAAAGATAAAATTTGGCCTATTCCTTACTTGATACACCAGAATAAGTTCCAAATTGATCAAAGATTTGATATTTTTTAAAGTGCAACATAAAATATGGGTGGGGGAAAAACTGCTAGCTAAATTGCTATAATTACTTTAAAAACCCAAGAGCAAGTAGGGAAAAGATGGATAAAATTGACAATATTACATTACAAAAATTGCCACAAGGAAAATAAAACTACAATGGCAAACTGAGAAAAAAATGTCTGTAATGTCTATCACAACTTGTTAATCAACCTAATAAACAAACAGCTTGTAAAAACAGTGAAGGAAAAACCCAACAATGCTATATAAAAAAATGGGTAAGTCATATTATCCAACAATTCACACAAAGATAAATGCAGATGGCCCTTAACATATTAAAACATACTCAAACTAACCCATAATAATAGAAGCCCATATCAAAACTACACGGAGGTACCACCACCCACCACCAGTGCCAAATCCTGCTCATCAGATTGGCAAAAAGCCAACAGTTTGCCAATTCCAGGGAGGGCTAGAGGGAAATAAGCAGTCATAAAATGATAACCCCAAGGAGGGGAAAATGGCAATATCTACCAAAATTATATACGTATTTAACCTTTGACCCAGCAATTCCACTGCTTCACTTTTCACTGCATTGTTATTTGAGGAAGCAGCCCAGATGTCCATAATGATTTACTGAATAAACGAGTGCATCCACACAATGGGATAATATACAGCTTTAAAAACAATGAGGAAGATCTCTGTATGATGCTATGGAGTGATTGAAGATGTAAGTGAAAAAAGTAAGGTGGAAAAAGTGTGTTCAGTATGCTACTAATTAACAGGTGTTGAATACATAACTGTTCATTTATATTTTTTAATAGGAGAATAAATCTTTAAAAATAACATTTACTTCTAGGGAGAGGAGGAACAGAGTGGAAGGAACAAGATAGAAGCTCGATTTCTCTGAGTATATCTTGAATGCGAAATCATAAATGTTAGCGTAGTTATAAGATAGAATGAAATTTAAAAGTTGTTAACTTCTAAAATTTAGAAGCAGAGTGTGACAAACTAGTATTGAATAGGTAGCATAACCACACAGAGGAATTATTTCAAGTGACTTTATGACACAATAATTTGTACCTCCCTGATGGCTATAGCCTAAAAACAAAATAAAGTAAAAAAATCTTAAATTATTTTTAGTAATTATTGTTAATATTATAGTATAGTTATTCTTTATTTTTTTACAAATTGTAGGACATAGCAAATAAGTAACTCCGCCTGTAATTAGGAATAATATTTTTAGTGTAAGAAGAATGACTTACAAATATAAAGTTAATAAAATCCTGTAATCCTAAATTTGAATTGAAAATTGAAAATTTCAAATATAAAAATAGTGTTATATAAAAGTAAATACATTACATAAAGTTAATAAAATCCTACAATCCTAAATTTGAATCGAAAAATATCAGTGTGACCTCATGATATATTTCTCTTTAAAAGGCCTCAAAACAAAGACCAACCCAGTGCTAGTGAGTACCTAATCCCTACGGACCCTTAACTACCACTTCCCAGGAACCAGGCTTCTTGGAGAACTAGTTCATTTCTTAAACTGGGTAGGAAATCGGAACATGAGCCTGAACATCTTGCCATACCAGAAAATAAGGAAACTGTCAAAGATCACTAGAGTTCCAAAGGACCCAAGAGCATCTGAGCACCCAAATAAGCCCCTACTGGCCAATTTTGAACAATCTAAGCATCAATAAGAATAATAAAAGTAATGGATTGAAATTCGATTTGTTAAATATTCTTGACTTCATAATGATTAAAAAAATAGAGTCTCCTTGAGAGGATCCTAAGGAACCAAGTGATTATTCTGAAAACTGGTAAATAAAGGGAAAGAATCAAACCTTTTCTGTAAGAACTGGATTTCAGGGTAACCAAATAGTTGATGAGGGAAAGGTTTTTTTAATTTTTACTGAGTACTCCAGAACAGAAGTAATGATAAAATTAGAACATTGCCATTATGCAACACCTAAAGAATTATCTAAGCAATCATCATCAATGGGTCCATAAAATGACAGAGACAACCAGGCATTATATATCTCCTGACAGAATTACCCTGCACTGCCTGTGTTCTTGCCAAAAACAAACCTGAATCAGATCGAACTCTAGATCTAACTAGCAGTCTATAAGAAATTTAAAGGCAGAGGAACTTGTTGAAAATCATCATGGGGATGGAATAAATATCTAAACTATGGAAAACTCTGAAGAAAAATGACCCAATTTCATCAACAAATAAATTGCAAGGAAAAAATATGGGGTGGGAAGTAGGGAGCTTTCAATGAACAGAGATGTAAAAGACATAATAAAAGGCTGTATGTGCCCATGTTTGGGTCCTGATTTGAACAAACCAAGAGTAAAATAATATTAGATAATGGGGGAAATTTCGGTAATTGATACTAAGAAGTTATGGTTAGTATTTTTAGGTATAATAATGGCATTGTCTTTATATCTTAGAGATGCATACTGAAATATTTGTAGATAAAGTAATATGATGCCTAGGATTGGCTTGATAATCAGAAGAAAGGGCAGGAAAGTGAGTGAAGTTTCAGATAAAGTAAGAAGTATCCTAAGTTTCTGATGGTTGAATCTGAGTCATGTGCACATGGTAATTTGTTCTCTACTTTCTAAGTTCAAAATTCTTCACAATTAGAAGTTAAAGATTTTGTTTTAATATAAATACTTCTTGTCTATGTCAACTGACTATATAATATGCCTCAATTTTTTTAGAACATTCCCATCCCTCACTTTTCCACACTTCCTTACTACTTAGCATTTATTTGTATACATTTTCCTGTGTGTACTAATTCATGCTTGTAAGTTTCTATACTTATATTTAAGTATAGGCATTGATTTTTTCCCCCTCTCCCATTTTGTTATAAATTTTATGAAGGCAGCGCTTGTGGTTTTTTACTGCCTTTCTAAATATACCCAGTGGCTCATCTAATGTTTAATTCATCAGCATATATTTAATGATTACTGGTTATATTTGCAGCGCTAGGCTACGTACAACAGCAATAAGATTTTCAGCTGGCAGTAATGAACCTATGATTTGAAAAAAAACACACTCGTTTTGTGTTACTATTCTAGATTTACTTTAATAAACTCAAAATCAGTCTAAAATTATATTTTTCTTATTTAGAAACCAACTTTGATCCAGCAGAATGGGGGTCTAAGGTAGACGACCGCTTCTATAACAACCATGCATTCAAGGTATGGTCCTGTGACACTAATGGATTTGGTTATTTCTTTTCCCTGTCTCCAAACAGAGATTATTGGGATCTCTCCAGAATCATGTAAATTGTGAGAGGCATCACACAAATCTTATTACAGCTTCTTCATTGTAATGTTCTTTCTGATGAGACATTCTTTTCTAAAGTGTCTGAGTCACACACAGATACATAGCTTAAACTTAAAGATGGTCAACAGGAAGAATGTAATAGAAAGGTATGGAATAATTTATTCTTCAAATTTTCCTGGGAATTACACTGCTTAGCGGTAGCAGATAATAAATATTTGTTGAATTAATGAATGATATTTCATAAAATCAAACACTATTCATCCACTAAAGTCAGAGAGAACACTACTCAGGACAACTAGCCACAAAGCACCTGCAGATATTTGAATTAAAAGGAATTAACAAAGTTCAAGTTTTAATGGTGTTCCACAGTAGATCTGGGGAATTTCCTGTGGAAATATCTGTCACTTATCCCATGAGTTCAGAAATGAATTTCCATCTATCTGTGTCTACCAGATTAGAGAGTGTTCTGTTTATTTCCATTTAACTAGATTCTCTGTGTTCATGCTTTACTGAAATCAAAGGAAAATGTTGAAAATTTTAAAATATTTGTGTCATATCAGCTATTTCTTCTCTTTTGAACTCTAAATACTTTATTTGATTAGCTCCTATGTCCTCTCTGTTCTGTGAATTTAGGAAGCTCTTTCCGTAAGTTGTGAATTAGCAATGTCTGTATTTTGGAAAAAGGTTTCAATAACCATGTCAAAACAGGCAGAGCTGAATTCCTTTTTCTGTTTAAATCACTCCTCGCAACAAAACTTACTTTTTTTAAACTTAGTTTTTAACCTACAAACTCCATTAAAAACTCAACTTGATTTCACACTATGCAACACAGTGACATTTGTTTTGTTTCTATTTTAGAAACTATTGGCACTTCTTTATACTTTGTTCAGAATTCATTACAGCATCTTATCAATTTTTAGTATAAGAATAATTTGTTTTTAATATAAAACAATGTCACATACATTCCAAAAGCAAAAAAAGCAAACGTTTCTTACCAGTTCCTCCATCTTTAATATTTGTTTATGCATATACCCTTGAGAGTTTTCATTTATTCATTCCCCCCCATTTTCCTTGTTAAAAAGATCAGTACGTATTTAATTCCCACTTCAATAACTTAAAGTCGTGTTTAATTACCATCACGCAGTTTGACCTAAAGCTACTGTTTTTGGAGACATTGCCTATTTGACCCTCTCTCCTCTCTCCAGGAGCAAGAAATATCTGAGAAAGGAAAGCCTGAGGCATCTCTGAGAGAGGAGACACCAGTCAAAGCCTTAGTAAGTTACATTTTCCACGTACTGCTGTAAGGATATCACTCAATTTGAAATTATAATCTAAATATGAATCTGGTCTGTTATCCATGTTGTTAAAATTATGATTTTCCGCCCGGCCAGGCGTGGCTCAGCGGTTGAGTGTAGACCTAGGATCCAGGAGATTGGGGCTCGATTCCCGGTCAGGGCACATGCCCAGGTTGCGGCTTTCAGGAGAGGACTGTGTATATCTCTACACAACCCTGTGCTTAGTAATGTCACTTTGGTAGCTTGAAATCAGCCATAGAAGGAATATTAAAACCATGACAGATACTGTGAATCAGGACTTTTTCCCCCTGGAGAGCCAGTTTTTAAGCATTTACCAGCATATCACTACATTTTTCATAGTCCAAGCTCAAGAGGACCATGCCTAGTGAGAAAGAACTCACTCTCCACAATACTGAAGGCCAAACATTTGAGTTTCTTTTCATGTCCCAGTTAGTTACCCAATAATTGACGCCCAAAATGGACATCCCCTCAAGAAATACCTTCCTTCCTGCCCAGTGGGGCATAACTTTACCCTATCCCTTTATAAATTATTCCAGAATTATATGTACAATTTAGCCTAACGTTAGTACAGGATGCATTGAGACATCAGAAAAGAAGGAAAGGAACATTATTTCCTTAGAACTTCAATAGGTGCCCTTACACAGGTTTTCATGAGTTTGAGGTAAGATCCCATTGATTTACAGCTTCATAATTTACTTGCCCATATTGGGGCATCATCTCAGAGGATTTTATACCACTTTGTTTGCATTTAAAAGTTTAAGAGCTAGCCCTAGCCGATTTGGCTCAGTGGTTAGAGCACTGGCCCAAGGACTGAAGGGTCCCAGGTTCGATTCTGGCCAAGGGCATGCACCTCGGTGCAGGCTTGGTCCCGGGTCCCTGGTCAGGGCGAGTGCGGGAGGCAACCAATTGATGTGTCTCTCTCACATCCAATGTCTCTCTCTCCCTACCCCACCCCCTTCCACTCTCTTTGAAAAGCAATGGCAAAAATATCCTCTGGTGTGGATTAAAAAAAAAATGTTTAACAGCTAGTGTTTCCTCATTACTGTAATAGAGGGAAAGGGGAGGGAAACAACCCAGAAGTCTGTCAATAGGAGGCTGTGTAAGTAAACCCAAGCCCATCAGCACAATACAATACGATGGTGTCATGAAAAAAAGAACGGCAGAGGTACATACGGAATAGTAGCACAGGTGAAGGGAACCGAGCATGCTGTTACATGGAAATAGTAACAGAACATTGCGAATAACATCATCTCATTTTTAAAGTAAAAAGGCACATATGTATCCATATGAATACTTTGTCTACTGAGAAATTTTGGAAGAATATATACACTCAACCCATAATAATAGTCACGTCTCAGGAGTAGGATTTGGGAAGGGGGAGAAAATTTTCACTACCAGTGGTATTTAAGTTTTTAAATGTATACATGTCACTTTTACAACTTAAAATATTAAAAGCTACGTATCTATTGAATTGTACACTTAAGATCTGTGCATTTCACTGTCTGTAAATTATACCTAAATTTAATAAAAAAAGAAGCTAGGTACAAAAGTTAAACCAACTATATTAAAACTGACATTATTGGACTAAGTAGGTTTCTCTCTGGCACTCTTTAAATGTGTGCTTTTGGTTAGCTAGTTTTTGAGACATTAATAAGTTAACACTTTAATTCATTCTATGGAATCATGATTATTTTGAAACAGCACATCTGCTGTTCTGGACATTTTTACCTTGCTTCAAGGATTCTTACTTACCCTCCCTCCCAAAATGTTATTTCTCTGGAGACTGTTAAATAGGAGCTATTTTGGAGGGGAAAAGTTGGCCATGATGATTTATTGCAGAGAAATATTAAAGTGACAAAACAAAATGCCTGCTATTGTGGCACTTACCATTTGGTGCACAGACAATGGGACAATATATAAAATTCCCTCAGGAAGCAACAGATCTCAGTTGTTACATCCCTAAAGTGAGTAGATTCGTGCACTACTTTTTATGGGTCAGAATGATGCAGAGGATGTGTGCTAAGTCTCTCTCCCTCCCAAGGAGGAGTCTCCTGAGGAGGAAAAGGAGAGAGAGGAGAATGCTGCGGTGAAGATCCAGGCGGTGTTCCGGGGACACCTCGCCCGGGAGGAGGTCAGGAAGATGAAGCAAGACGAGCCTGCGCAGGAGACCAACTGAGGAGACTGGTTTTGCCCCCAAACATGACAAAATCATTCAAATCCATCAACTGCGTTGTGATTGTCGTTTTTTCTTAGTAAGGGAGATTTGATTTAGTGAAATAGCATTTGTTGCTGTTGCGAAAATCTGTCATGAGCATTTGTTTAATAAACATGCCATTGAACACATGCCTCTTGAGGATTTCTCTGAGATCAGAAGTCTTATTTATACTCCTCCTGAGTCTATGTATAGAGACCCTTGGATTCAGAGTTGTAGACCTGGAGTATCCGAGTTTCAGAGATCTCAGAGGTTATGTGGTCTAACCATTGTCTAATGAACAAATCCTCTCTGTCACATCCCTGAAAATGGTCTTCTAGCTCCTGTTTCACTCATAGTGATAGAGAATTTCATTGCCTTTCAAGGGTAGTCGTTAATTTTAGAATAACATGAATTATTAGAAAAATAAGCTAAGTAAAAAATCCACCTCCTTGTAAGTTTTCATCTATCACGCCTGCATTCAATCATTCATTAAAAAATGTAGGAGCATTTTTCGTGTGCTGGGGTTTAGGAGTGAAAGTCTGTCCTTACATCTGTGCACCTGGAGGCTTTTTCTTGTCTTGCTCTCCAGAACAACACAGAATAAGACTAATGCGTCACATTTGAAAAAAATGAAAGCTGTCGTAACATCATAAAGACTCTCTTCTTCAGCTAGAACTTCCCATGTTTCTTCAATGTAGAAATGGTAATACCTTCACCACAAACTCCCAAACTTCAGAGTCATTCAAGCCCTGGCACCTTATTTTTAGAAAGTTCAGTGTCTCCTTTTTGAGGCCTCCCCTCTCCTGACTATTCAAGAAACTGCAGGGTTCATGTCTTACACCCAAAGATGCAGTTCCCTTCCCAAAAGAAAATGGAGAAAAAGCAGATAATATAACAGCATTACCATATAATGCTGTTACTTTCTACCACAATGATGCAGCCTGGTCCAGCAGGCCGACGGAGTCCTGGCTGGTTCAGATTCCTGTCTGCCTCAGGCTTTGGTTCTAGCATCACACCCCTCTTAGTTCACAGTCACATAGCTATTGGTCCCCAAAGCTCAATACCATGTGTGGGTGGGTCGGTCTTGAGGAGCTTCTAAAACCAGTCATGTGTCCTGCATAACAAGTGGTCTCCTGCAAACACTTAGATCTCTGTCTTAAGCTCAGACTTGCCCTTTTTGCAAAGCAGTGTTATTTCAGGTGCCCCGCAGCCCTTCCCGTCACTGAGCCCCTCATCAGGCTCCACAGCAGTTCACGCAGGCGATCTCCCCTGAAACACAGATGACTTACACCAGCGCCTTCAAGACTGCGCATTCACCCACCAGCCCGCTCGCCCACCTGGGGACAGCCTGCCCCCTCCAAGGTCTTCCGGCCGCGGAGAGCTGCATGCTAGCTAAACACAAGTCTCTAATGTCCACTGGGCCCCTGCCCCCGTCCTTCACCCCCATCTCCCAGGCTTGGAGAGAGAAATCAGCCCTCCAGGATTCCAGCTGCTCATCCCCGATTGCATTCAAAGCACCGGCCTCCAACCCCTTTCTCCGCAAAGCCATCCTACTCGGGGGATTAGCACCAGGACCCAGAATTGCTGTAATGCAAAGACTTAGCTTCCTAGCCCTGAAAAGTAGACCAGAGAAAAAAGACCACCCTTCCCCCCGCGAGTGAGTATTTAGTAGGGGGCAGGGGAGATGCCAGTTAACTTTTACAGTAATTCTGTTATATGTGTAACCTCATGAACACTGTGCTTT